TTTTTTTTTTTTTATTCATTTATGAATTTTATGAATTTTCGTTGTGTTTCATTACTTTTTTCATTATTATTTTTTTGGCGAGCTTTGTTGTTTTTTCCAACCGTAGAATTATGATTATAATTGTTATTACCATTATTATTAGAAGTAGTAGTAGTAGTTGTATTATTAGTATTATTATTATTATTATTATTATTATTGTTGTGATCCAAGCAGAGTTCAGATTAATGACCTGGATGTATTTTGAAAACCGTATCGGCCAAAAACTATAATCTGAACAATGTTTTGTGTATTTATCCAAACACATAATCATCAGTGATTATTTGTTTGACGACACTGTGTAATAACGTGTTTGGAGATGATCGGAAACTGTTTTTATTTGGCTGTTTGACCAAAGTTATGAATTAGTTGGACACTCAAACCATATTTCTTATTTTTCCAAGTAAAAAGCAGCAATTATATTCTATTCTCTCTACTATCTTTATATATTTTTTTATTATATCTATAATTTTTTTTGTATTTGTTTATATGTATATGTATAAATAATATATATATATATATTTTTTTCCTTGCCAATTATAAGGATATTGAAACGCATTTAACACACATATATATACATATATGTGTGTGTGTATATATATTAAATACGTAAACAATCATTTCGTGTATCATATTAATAACTGCCTTTGAACAGAGATTAGAGTTAATAATCAGGATGAAAGTTTGTGTCTTTGACTGCTGACAAACCTTTTGGCTTCACTGGGACAAAAAACACAAAAAAAACACCCGAAAAAATACAAAAATGAATTTAATCTTATTGCAAAAATCTAATTTGAAAAAAAATAAATGCAAAATGATGTTTGACTTATTGTATCACCTACATTATTTTTGCATTTTGCATTTTACTCTGTGAAACACGTCTGGTATTTTCCTTAGGGATAGACATTATATATAGGTATTTTCCTTAGGGATAGACATTATATATAGGTATTTTCCTTAGGGATAGACATTATATATAGGTATTTTCCTTAGGGATAGATATTATATATAGGTATTTCTGTATCTGTAACAGTGGGACAACAAACACAAAAAACACCCCAAAAAATACAAAAATGAATTTAATCTAATTAAAAAAAGGATAGGAAATAAAAATAGGAAAAAATAGGAAAAGAAATAAAAGCAAAATTACATTACAAAATACATTATTTTTGCATTTTGCATTTTACTCTGTGAAACACGTCTGGTATTTTCCTTAGGGATAGATATTATATATAGGTATTTTCCTTAGGGATAGACATTATATATAGGTATTTTCCTTAGGGATAGATATTATATATATAGGTATTTTCCTTAGGGATAGACACTATATATAGGTATTTTCCTTAGGGATAGACATATAGGTATTTTCCTTAGGGATGGATACTATATATAGGTATTTTCCTTAGGGATAGACATTATATAAAGGTATTTTCCTTAGGGATAGATATTATATATAGGTATTTTCCTTAGGGATAGACATTATATATAGGTATTTTCCTTAGGGATAGACATTATATATAGGTATTTTCCTTAGGGATAGACACTATATATAGGTATTTTCCTTAGGGATAGACACTATATATAGGTATTTTCCTTAGGGATAGACACTATATATAGGTATTTTCCTTAGGGATAGACATTATATATAGGTATTT